ACCATTAACATAAAAAAATAAATGAAAGCATATTAGGGACTGGGGTTGTGGCTCAGTGGTAAAGGCACTGGGTTCAGTTCTTAGCACTGCATATAAATTAATAAAATAAAGGTCCATTGACCACTAAAAAACATATTTTTTAAAAAAGAAAGTATATTAGATAAGCTTCTAGAGTCCCAGGGCTATAGGTCTCACACTTCTGGGCCTGTTTCTTCCTCTGTGAAATGATAGAATAAATCATCTATCTTTGATCTCCTTCCTATTCTGCAATTCTATTATTAAAACAATAATAAATCAATTAAAAAGTCTACATACTTCCTTTAGTCAAAATGGAATGTACAAGGAAGAACTTTTATAAAGGTATAAAGACACCCTTAAAATAATCAGTTCCCTAATGTATTTTTTTTTTTTTTTTTTTAGTGAGAGAGAGAGGGGGGGACAGAGAGAGAATTTTTTTTTAACATTTATTTATTTTTTCTTAGTTCTCGGCGGACACAACATCTTTGTTGGTATGTGGTGCTGAGGATCGAACCCGGGCCGCACGCACACTAGGCGAGCGCGCTACCGCTTGAGCCACATCCCCAGCCCTCCCTAATGTATTATGTTAGTAAGTTTAGGTTTTCATACATCCAAACTGGGAGTGGCTTTGAGCAGCTTTTTTTTATTACATGTATTATTGGATTTGCTCACCTGGTTCAGCATTCCTCAATGTACTGTGCAGTATGTAAATAAAGAAGCCATTTTACAGTATTGATTTCACTACCAGAGATGGTACATAACATATATATGCTTTTCAATCCAAAAAATAAAGAAATCAAGCTGCACTCCTTGACTAATAAAGCTCATAATTAGTTTGTGATTACCCCCAGATTTGTCCATAGAATTCCTTCCCTGGCTGGCTGTCAATACACTTCTGAGCTCTGTGAACACTCTTTATGAGCTACAACTTCCCTATCAAAAAGTTTTGCTCTTCTAGATTATTGCTTATGTTGCAGTATTCATTTAAAAAAGGAAAACAAGGCACTTCCGGGCTAGCTGACAGCACTGAGGAAATGACCTGGACTTTTTGAAATGAGAAGCTGATCTCGCTTCAGGTGAAAGCTGTTGAAAAATAAAAGCTCACTGGTAGCTCCACACAGTCTGGTCTCTAGTTCCTGCTCTAACCCTGGCAATAAAACTCCCAAAGCACAATTCTAGCCAAAAGGCCTATTTTCCACTTTATAACCACCTGCCCAGTGGCAGACAAAATAAATATGCTTTAAGCCTCCCAGGACTCACCAGTTCTAGCAGTTCCTTACATCCTATTTTTGCCCTACTGGGAAATTAAAGTGGCATAAAAATCAATGTTTCACTTTGAAGGAAAAAGGCCTGCTGACCAGACATCGATACATTTCTTCCTGGATCAGACAGTTCTTGGAAGCACACCTAGCTAAATAAATTCTAACCAATAGGCCTACATGAGTTTGGTGCTGGCATTAGCTGAAGCAGAGAGCAAAACCTTGCTTTGGCTAGTCAGGGACTCTCCACTTCTTATGGTAGGGAAGAATTCATGAGAAAATGTAAGCAAAGATTCTGAGTTTTGAATTTTATCCAACTGCTTCAGACCTCAAGTCCCTCAGGCCAAAAGTAAAAACAGAAACTCAGACTGAGAACTTTTCAGGATATTAGGGTATGCACCCCAAGGGCTCTGAAGCTCAACTTGAGACAAGCAGCTCAGAGTTATGGAAGAACTAAAGTTTTGTAGCCACATGAACTGTGTGTCACCACTTCATGGGACACAAAATTTGATATAATTGGATATTTGGAACAGAATGCAGTTTCTTCTGAAGGGGTAAAAAGTAACTTTAAACTGACTCAGCAGATGTTACAGTCCTACTGAGATACCAAGATCAAAGCTTCACGTTTAAGGAAATGATTATTTTATCTTCACATTTTTGCCAGCTGATAAAATACTGCCTCTCATTTTTAATGACCTTAAAATAAACTATGCTGGTCTGCTTTCTAAGCTTGGCCCAAGCACGAGTCTCACTAAAATGATTAGCATTGCTAAGTATTTGCCTCTTTGCCAACAGTTCCCAAATCCAAAAAGTGTGATTTGGTAATGAGAAAGGCAGTATTTAGTTTCATTTTTAGTGATGTGTGAGAGTTCTGGTCACAATGTATTCACAAAGATGTAAAAAGAAAGAAAAGAAAAAAATTAAGGGGTAGGGCGAGATGGGGGAAAAGGAAGGCTGACTATAGGCCACAAGAAAGTTTTGAGATTTAAGGATGATTACTTACACTTGTACCAGGTCTCATATACCTTTTCCACAGCTCAGTCATGCTATTTTTCTAAGTTTAAATAAAACTGCATTACTTTTGTAAATCAAGACATAGGTAAACTGGTGGTGGTAAGAGCTGACTCAAGTGAAAAATTAAACAAAAAGGACTGAATGGACAAGTGCAGTGGAGCACTGCCTGTAACCCCAGTGGCTTGGGAGGCAAAGGCTGGAGGATCTCAAATTCAAAGCCAGCCTGAGCAATTTATTAAGGTGGTAAGCAACTCAGTGAGACCCTGTCTCTAAACAAAATACAAAATAGGGCTGGGGATATGGCTCAGTGGTGGAGTGCCCCTGAATTCAATCCATGGTACTTCCCCACCCCTGCAGGGGGGGGGGGAAGTGCTGGAAATTTCCAAGGCTGTAATGTTCTCTGAAAACTAATCTTTACAACGGAGAGGACTGGAACTCACCACCTTAACCCCTGTACAATCAATAGAAACCACCTAACATTATGTGACTATTTAACAGAATTGAGTAAACAGATAATTACACTAAAGAAATATTCCACACTGCCTTGAATTCTTCACAAAGGTCAATGACATGAAAAAACGACAATTGTAGATTTAAAAATCAAACCATCAAATGCAATAAATTAAATGGATTCTGGATCAAATGACATATGGGTATCATACAAAGATATCTTTTTAGGGCAGTTGAGAAAATTGGAATATGAACTGGTTTTTAAGTGTTAATTGCATTAATGTTAATTTTCTTAGGTATTGATATTAGTGAATATGCAGACCCATTCTTAAATGCATGCTGGAGTACTAGGGAGATGAAGTGCTACAATTCTGTAGTATCTTTCAATTGTTCAATAAAAGTAAATACATCTGTGTATGTGTGTGCACATGTGTGTATTTATGTATGTATATGGAGACAGAAATGTGGCAAAATGTTAGTTTGATGAATCTAGATAAAAGGGAAGCTGGGGTTCACTATACTATTCTTTCAATGCTGCTGTAAAACCTTTTCTAAAGTTAGGGGGAATATTTGTTTTTCATGACATACTTCTAGTTACTTGGAGCTTATGTTTGTAGGAGAAGATAACACTTTGTTGGTAAGATATGTTTTATTTCATGGAATTAGGAATTATTTGTAAGGCTACAGAAAGCCAACTTTTAAAAAAAACTCAATGATGATTTTGTATATTTATGATTTCAAATAGCTGTCTGGAGTCAGAGAGTTGACCAGTTCCAGTACACTGCCATTTATTTACTTTTAAAATAAACTCAGTAAACTATGCTGTTTGAGTGTAGGCTTTAGATGGCTATGGAATGAACTAGTGATGGCCTCATATTTCTTTTGTACTGATCTCCTTCTCCTTTCCCTTCCACCAGATTCCCTATTTTCTTACATCATGGTGGCGAGTGTGTGTTCCTACTGAATTGCACAACTGCATGGAGGTAGGTATTCTCTGTCCCAACCATATAAGGCAGCAAACACTATGGGAAAAATGGCAACTCAACAAATACCAGTTGAAAAAAGAACAGATAAAGATCTAAAAAATATTTTTCAAGAGAAATTGTATAAATAAGTGTTTCAGCATGTAATGATGTGGCTTCGAGAGGGAGAAAGGACCAATTCATATTAAAAAGTCAAAATGCTACTACTATTGATCACATGGGCCTTTGTCAGAGGACTAGATAAAGTCATGAAATTGAATTATCATTACCTGGTGTCAGGAGCCACACACAGTTCAGTCAGAGGTCCAGCTAAACTCTTGACCCAAACTTAAAATGCTTCTATAAATTTGTTATTGAATTCTGTAATTCAACATTTTATGTCATAATAAAGCACATAAAAATACAAGATACATGATTTTTTTTTTCCCCAGTGGTGTGCTGGGGGATCAACTGCTCTACCACTGGAGCTACATCCCCAGTCCCATGAAATTTTTTTCCCCCTAGGATTTTTACAAAGCCTATTTTGACCTATGAGTTAAAAAATGAACCAAATTCATTCTCTGAGATAAGTTTCTCAGGGTTTTGTTTTGGTAATATCTGGCTATAGTATGATATTAAAATGTCAGGAATTGGAAAGATGGATATTTCACTATAACTGAAGAACTAAAGCATGTTTGAGAATTTCTAACAACACTGATGGGGACAGTGTTTCAAATTAAATAATTAAGGCAAAAGATATTATTAAACTTAGGTCAGTCTTGTAGGCTAATAGTGGTAAAGAAATACCCTTTTTCTTCTGGTACCATGGATTGAACTCAGGAGCATTTAACTGCTACGCCACATCCCTAGCACCCCGCCCCCCTTTTTTTAAAATTTAGAGACAGGGTCTTGTTAAGGCTGGCTTTGTACTGGTGATCCTCCTGCCTCAGTCCCCTGAGCCACTGGGATTAAAGGAGTGTTCAGTCTTTGTTTTTTGAGAGAGAATTTTAATATTTATTTTTTTAGTTTTCAGCAGAAACAACATCTTTGTATGTGGTGCTGAGGATCGAACCTGGGCCACATGCATGCCAGCCAGGCGTACTACCGCTTGAGCCACATCCCCAGTCTTAAAATAGAACTTAACCAGGTAACTCAGATTTGCTTCCTGTAGTACTGCCATTAACTCATGCAGATCAGAATCAGAGAATAAAAGAAAATATCCCTTTATAATCACTGGGCAATTTTTATGAATTCATTTTTTGGTATGAGAGGCAAGAAAACTAATCAGACAAATCAGTCAAGGTGAGGTATCTTTGGAAAATTTAATTTGGACTGTATTTTCTTTCTCTTGCTGAAAACATCAAATATCCCAGACATTTTGGGTTCCACAGCTTACAAAGGGGCAGTGGGTTTCCCGCAGTTACATACTGTACCCAACTTTCTATAGAAAGATAAGACACTTTCCAACCTTGCTTTTGAGTATTTCCTAAAAAAAATGCTTTAAAGGTTTGTTGTTGTTGTTGTTTACAATAAATGACAAAACAAAGTAAGGCTTTATTTTCTCCTTTTCCCCTTTGTAAGTACTGCATGATGGAGGAACAAGGAAGGAAGACTGGTTATGTCAGTGTTGATGCTCTGGGGCTTACTGCTGGGTCCTCTGAGGTGCACCCACATCACCGAGGCCCCGATGTACCCATGCACTAAGGAACCTGAGATGCCTGGGTAAGTGTGTAACAGCCCGTCGTGGCTTTGTAGGACTGCACAACACGTGGGGACTAGGAGCTGCCTGGTTCTTCTTGGCATTTGCAGGGTTGCTGGCCTTCATGAGTAACAAAGAAACTAGGAACAAACCACGACCAGAGGTCTCCCACCTGCTACTGCAGTACCACAGGTTCACTTCTGTGGGCCTTACAATGTACATTTACAAACTAAGTGTATTTACTAAAAATCAAATGAGAAAAAAAATGCTTTTACTAATTCCTGCACTGAATTACAGAGATGAAAATAAAAGCATGTGTCTGATAAAACACATTTTCTATATCAGATGAAAACAACTCCTTGCAAGGTAATCTTAGTAATGTACATTTGTCACTATTTATATACTTTTGCCTGGTATATAGATTTCTTTAATTGCATCATCTGAACAGCTCTGTCATTTTCCAAACTTGTTTCATTAACTTAAAAAAGGGATAAGGCAGCCAAATTTAACTAATTTTGGTTGCAGAAAAACATCTTAGACATCAACCTTCATCTTCTCAAGTGTTAAGAGTACATGATTAAAAGACAATCAAAGTTTCTTCTCTTAACAGGAAATTAAGCAGCTATTGTCAGTAAATGTACCTCTAGCAAACATACGGCCCCTTCATAAATATAAAATTAAATTCTTTTGAGGAATAGGTTTGTGATTTTAGTTATGTGGGATTTATATTTATTCTTTGTATTTTGTAGTAAAAAATGTGTGGTCTTTGTTTCTTGAACTTCATACACAAGTGACTTTGTCACCTCAGCAGGCTCTCACATACAGGTGGAAGGCTGGGTTATTCGGCTTGCTTCAAGAAAAAGGTGGCAGCCATTTGGCATATACTCTTAGAATCCTTGCAAGAACTCTTGCAGTTGGGTGACGATCTCTGTGTCCACCGTTTCCATGAGAGACTGGAAGCCTTGTTCTCCCAGAACCTCCTGCTGTGCTTTGAGCTTCTCATAGATGAACTGCTGCAGCGACACTGTGTGCACAGGGTCCTTCAGGGCCAGCTGCGGGACACAGAGAGGAGCCATATTGTGTCAGAAAAACAAAACAAATTCTTTTGCATACAACTTACTACAATTCTTCACAATCTCTTCCCCAATTACAAAACTGCTAATAATTCCCCCTTTTTGAAAAAATATTTATTTTAGTTGTAGATGGACACAATACCTTCACATTTTATTTATTTTTATGTGGTGCTGAGGATAGAACCCAGTGCCTCATACACACTAGGCAAGTGCTTTACCACTAAGCTACAACCCCAACCCTCTGATTCCTTTTGGGATTCTAAAACAGTTTCATGGTAGAAAGTTTCATTCAATTTGTCTAACCCCAACTTTCTAGGGCCCTCTGAACATAAATTACTCTGATTAGCTCAGTTTCTCAAGAGCTGAGGATTCATCCATTTAAGGCATCAAAATCTAGTAGAAAGTCTCCCTAAAAGAAAAAGAGCACGTTAAAGACCATTTCAACACACGTGCATGGGAATCTCCTGGGGAGGATGAGGTGTTCTCAGTAACTTAGCTATGTCCTTGGGATGAAAGAGGAGACATTATTTCTCCTACCCTGGACCTCTGTGCTCTTTAAAAAACAAATATGTTTTCAGTTGGAAAAAAAAGAAAAAAATTAAATATTTTTATTCTTTCTTCTCCAGTGGGATATTTGGGGTAGGAGAAATAAGTACAATTAAATAGAAAATAAGACATTGTTCAACTCCTTAAAGATAAAAATGGGAAATATTGTTGGTTTCTTTTCGTCTTTTCTATGCACGCTGTACATACACATGAATCACACAATTAGTACTGCTCTGTGCATTTACAATACCACAAAAAATTCTGAGAATCTGTGCATTTACAATACCACAAAAAATTCTGAGAATTCTAAATCTATATATCTATTTTTTCTGCTATAGACATATTAAAGTGATCATAGTATAAATACAGTTTTAACTATTATTTTGCTGAGTAGCCTACCACAAACACTGTCCCATTATATCTACAGCTATTCTTTTACTTTTTAGCTTATTTTCTTGGGATATCTGTTTTAGAAGAATAGGGCATCAACAATTTTATGAATCCTGATACAAATTATCAAGTTGTTTTCTCTACTGTCTGTACCAATTTAAAAGCTATAATAAAGGTTTTTAGCTTCTGACAGTGTTCTTACCACTGGTATTATTTAAATGCTTTATGATTTAATAACTGAAAAAATAACATACAACTGCTGTAAGCTGCACACTTATCTCATTATCCAATTATAGTGTAAATCTAAAAGGATTTATTTAAGTATATAAGATTCTGTGGCTGATAAAGTTGAATTGTAGTCAGAACTACTATTTGAACAATGTAAATAGATTTTAAAGTAATGACCACAAATGAAAAATTCAACTGAGAGGCAGGACATAGAGTATGAGGCTGGAGTACATGATAAATCCAGACAAGAAGTAATAATTTCAAAACTCATTTCCCTGGAAGACAGGTAGGAGAAACACCATCAAGAAAGGTGAGCACAAAGGCCTATGTCCACAAGCCTAAAGACAATATTCCATAAAATGCACAGAAATTGAAAAATTGAAGATGAACATTTAAAAATATTTGCTCAAGAAATATGAAGTGATGATCAATATTATTATAAATACTAAAATCAACTTCTTACTAAAGAGGATGTACATTTTTTGGAAACATCATGAATTATCTGTAACTACAACTATCTATTATCACATGAGAAAAATAGCAGCTGAGCTTAAAACTGATGTTTACCAGTCCTTCCACAGAGAATAGTAGTTTTAACAGTACCTTCAGTTGCCAGAATTGAGACACACTCAAGTGACTAATAGCATTTTCAAAGAAATTAACTGTTACCTTCATATAAATAATGACCACACGGCTTACAATAAAATTTATCTGATTTAGTGTAAAAAATTACAGAATGCCTACTAGGTTTACCAGGTGGTATGCTCTTGAGAAAGCAGCTTTCTAGGTAAAAAATAAGGACAAAGAAACTGGTATATAAACACAATGGCATCTTACTCAGCCTTAAAAGAGAATAAAATTATGACATTTGCAGGTAAATAGATGGAGCTGGAGAATACCATGCTAAGCAAAGTAAGCCAATCCCCAAAACCAAAGGCCAAATGTTCTCTCTGATAAGTGGATGCTGATCCATAACAGAGAAGGAGGAGGCATGGGAAAAAATGGGGAAACTTTGATTGGGCAAAGAAAAGAAGGGAAATATGATGGAATAGATGGGCATCATTTCCCTATGTACATGTATGACTGCACACATGGAGTGATGCTATATCGTGCACAACCATAGAAATGTAAAGTTGTGCTTTGATTGTGTACAATGAAATAAAAATGCATTTTGCTCTCATATATCTAATTAAAATAAATAAATGAAAATTTAAAAGTAGATACTACATCTGCTGTTGAAACAAACACACTGCAAATAATAAATTCTTTTTTCAAATTCTTATTATAATAGCTGACAACTAAGAACCCTGTTTTTTTTTTTTAAATACAACAAACATAAGAGGCTCTAAAATGTGGGGAAAACAGAGTCAAACAGCAGAGACTTCACACTTAAGAACAATATAGTTGTGAGTTCCATGGCTTTCTCCTTGCCTTATATATCCCAAACTTCAATTTCAAGAAGTCAGCAACCTAGAAAGAAAACCAACAAAAAAACTTTGAAAAAAGCCTACTGTTTTGAACCAGAGGACCAAGAAAGAGATAGCCTTCCAAGACAGAAATATTAGACAATGTTAGTTAGTTTTGTGTCACTGTGGCTAAAATACCTGATCAGAACAACTTAAGAGGAAGAAAAGTTTAGTTAGATTCAAGGTTCCAGAGTTTTAGTCATTCAAGCTGATTCAAAAGCTCTGAGCCCAAGGTAAGGAACCTCATGGCAGAAGGGAGGGTAGAGGGAAATTACTCCATTCATGGCAGAGAGGAAGGGACCACAAGGAAGATGTACTCTTTCATGGCACAACCCCAGTGAACCACCTCCTCCAGTCACTACCCACTTAGCCCATTTAAACTAGGATAGACTGAACAGGTTACATCTCATCATCCAATCATTTCATCTCTGAACATTCAATCAGCATTAACACAGAAGATGGGGGAGGGGCACCTCATATTCAAACAATAACAACATTTGCCAGTGCGTGTGTGTGTGTGTGTATGTGCATGCATATATATATATATAATCTTTTTTTCTTTTTTTTTTGGGGGGGAACAAGGATTGAACCCAGGAACACTTAACCACTGAGCCACATCCCTAGCCCATTTTTGTATTTTATTTAGAGACAGGGTCTCAATGTGTTGCTTAGGGCCTCACTAAGTTACTAAGATTGGCTTTGAATTTGTGATCCTCCTGCTTCAGCCTCCCAGGCTGCTAGGATTATAGGTGTGTACCACCGTGCCTGGCTCAATCATCTTAAATTCAGCTAAATATATAGAGTCACAAGGCTACCATAAGGTAACCTTAACATCAGTTTGCTCAGACAGTTGTGGGGATTATGTAATATAATAAAAAGGATATGTGATAAATTGTGCATGAGTAAAATTGTTAGGATTATAAGTGGATTTTTAGAATCCTATAAAAATATGTTGCCTTTTGTGATGACCCATTACATGTTTCTTGGAAGTATTTTTAATATAAACCAGTTTTAGCAGTAAATTAAGAATTACTTCTATTCAGTTTCTAGCAGTGGGGTAACCTCTTCACATTAAAATAAAAAATCAACCTGAATACACAACTAAATTAGTAAATAAATGTTCTTCAATTCATCTTATTGTTTAAGCAAAATGACTATAAAACAATATATGATAAGGTATTTAGAGATGTACTTTGTACATTAATGTTCCTAAATAGAACATTAATTTCCTAAATAGAAAATAACAGTCTTCTGGATAAAGTATTATTGCCCAGATATGCCTTTGATTCTACTACTGCTTTTCAGAAATATATTCATTTTTGTCCATTCTGTGTGAGAATATACCATAAAATCACATCTAAGCCACAATATACTGATCTTACTATACACGAGTATCAGGTGATACAGAGAATGGAAAGAGAAAAAGGAAAACAGTGAGAAAAAAAAATCAGATGAGATTTGCAATTATATTTGCAATCTAAATGTCATCTTTAGGTATACTGAGTTCTCAGAGTCAATATATTTCTGTTTATATGCTTACTGAAGGGACTGAGAAATATGAACATTACTAATAAGAAACATTACTATAGGAAAACTGGCCTCTATGGTTCTAAGAAGTGAGATCACAGAGTAAATTTTATGAGAATCTCAAGTCTCTTGGTAAAATGCTCCACAAAGTCAGACAACCAGGTAAAGGAATGGAAACTCCAAGTGCTATCAATAAGATGCTGAATGGGAATCCATACAAGCAAGAAAGTTTAAGGAACCAGTCAAGCCTTCAATCTCTTTCAAATACGGACTATCATTCCATCAAATTATAAATCAATAACTTATAGTGACAGAATGTAATGGAGATCAATAGGGGAATGAAAGCTTTCCATCTTGACTATTTGCTAATATAGCAAACCTACTAAAGAAATTGTGATATTTTAAGACCTATATTAACTCACTGTTCCTGGGAAGGGAAGTAGCATTACTATCACTATTTAACCTACGCTTGTTGGAGAGCTTGGGGTAAATGGCAAACACTTTTAAAAATGCCATATATTTTAAAAAATAAAATGTATATTTATTTTGGTAGGCAGGCTTGGCACAAAACAAAGGACCAGTTCCACAGTACTGCTTCCATTATTGAATAATCTGTGTAAGTCAAACTGAAGATTCAGAACAATCATCTCTTTGATAAACAAAATTGTGAACTATGACAATTATTTAGGAAACACCACCACTTAAGCATTTAAAAGGCTGTTCAAAACCAGTCTCAGGAAAATCGAAATGCTAAGTAACTCAGTGAGACCCTGTCTCTAAATAAAATATAAAATAGGACTAGGGATGTGGCTCAGTGGTCGA